CTGCAGGCATGTTCAAACATTTATTTTCGTCTCTGCAAACTGCAAAGGGTATATGCAAAAGTAATGCACACCTGCCTGCTTGTACTGTAGGTGATCTTGACCCCGCTCCCAGGTCAGGAGGTGGAGTTTGACCTTTATGATAAAGACATTGACCAGGACGACTTCCTTGGCAGGTGAGACAACAGCCTTCCTCTTCTGCTTTTAGAATGTTATGCTGTAGTTTAGCTTGATTTGACTGATTCTTGAGTAATAATGGGGGGGAAAATTAGACTTCTGTTCAAAGTTTGAGGTTGGAAAAATATTTTTTAATTGTATTGAAAGAAGTCTCTTATGCTCACCAAGTCTGCATCTGTTTAATAATAAAATACAGTAAAAACAGTGATGTTGTGAATTTTTTGTTATAAAATAGAAATAGAAACTTGAAATTGATATCATTTGTAATATTATAAATATCTGTATTGTCACTAACCGAATAAAAGTATGAATTGCTATAAATAAATAAAAACTTACTGACCCTAAACTTTCGAACTGCATTGTTTTAGTGCAATATCCTGCTTTCATTTTTGCACAAAATGTGTTTTTTCCTTCCTTTGACTCACTGTGGATATCACACATGTAGTACGTTTTGGTGCCACTAGCTAATAACAGGACCTTATTAAAATGAGGGCGATTATTTAAAAATTTGAAACAATTGCTTTTACAATTTGTATGACAAATCATGTTATGGTTATGGTCTGAGGACAGATGCTTTTAAGGGTAGTGAATGAGATAAAATAAGATAAATACAATGCAAGTGTACATTTGTGTTAAGAATATGCTAGTGATAATCTCTGATTTGTTTCAAAGTGGCAGGTAAGATTGTGTTGTGTGTGTTATAATATTTTGGCCAGTGTATCTAGAGTATCAGTTCTTCTTTTGATGAATATCAGTATTGTTTAATATCTGCTTGCAGGGTTAAAGTAAGTCTCAGAGACCTCATCAGTGCTCAGTTTACTGATCAGGTAAGCCTCTCAGTGCATGTTTGTTTGTTTTTAAGTGTTTTCTATATCTGGTTGTATGCTTGTTTATTTATGCCGGCTTCCTCATACAGTGGTATACTCTGAATGATGTGAAATCTGGACGACTTCACCTTGTGTTGGAATGGGTGCCTAAAGTTTCAGATCCAACCAGACTTGAACAGGTAACAGTTTATATATGCTTTTAATGTTCATCTGAATTCATTAAATATTAACATTTTGTTGATTGGTTTTGTGATTTTTGTATCCAGATTCTACGTTACAACTATCGTCAGTCTTACCTGAATAAAACGGTTCCCTCTGTTGCACTTCTTTTTGTATATATCGAAAGAGCACATGGTCTGCCTGTAAGCTTAATTTTATTTTCTTTAAAATATTTAATTTATTTCGTCACTACTTAATTTGCCATAGCCAGTAGTTAGCATTGACTTCGTTACAATGAACTGTATGAATATATTAGCAGCACCCAGCATTAAAAAATGTAATGTTGTTCACAGTTAAAAAAGAGCGGGAAAGAGCCAATGGCGGGAGCAGAAGTGTCGTTCAAAAACATATCCTACCGGACCAAAGTAAGGCCCCTTAAATCATGGGTCATTTATGCTGATGTTATTAAAATATCAAAGACTCACAAGGGATCATTTTTCCCCTTCTAGGTTTTCAATCGCTCGACTTCTCCACAGTGGGATGAAGCTTTTAATTTCCTGATCCATAATCCAACAGATGACACACTTGTAGTCAAAGTGAGAAGCTGCATTTTACAATAAATATTGATTTTAAGGTGTGCATTTATGTCTGAAGGACAATATTGACATAATTTGTTCTGCTCTGGAGTGTATTTTATGAGTTTGGTGTGTGTAGCTCTCTCACAGCTGGGGTCAGCCTCTGGGTTCACTTGTGCTTCCACTGAGGGAGCTTCTGAATGAGAAGGATCTGGTGCTGGACCGCTGGTTCAGTCTGGATGGAGCCATGCCTGAGAGTCAGATTCTGTTGAGAGCTGAACTCAAGGTTAGAAATCACACATATTTTCAACATGTGCTGAGCAGCAGGACACATTTACATTCAGCAACATCCACATACTTTTTTTTTGCCATATAGTGTGTTCTATTCATGTAATTAAACACATGCTCACCAATTCTTCATGTATTTAACCAAAACATTATTACATTATATTATATTATATTATATTGTATTATATAGAAAATGGAAAAATAAAATGCTTGGGTTGTGTCTTGCAGTAAAGAATTAGTTCCTGATGAGAAAGACACTTGAATAAACGTAACCAAAAACATTATATTATATTATATTAAATACTGTTTTCTCTATTTTTCAGTATAGAATTATAGAATCAGTATAGAACAGTATAGAAAAGCTGAATTTTCAGTATCATCACTCCAGTCTTCAGTGTCACATGATCCTTCAGAAATCATTCTAATATGCTGACTTTGTGCTCAAGAACCATTTCATATTATAATCAATGTTACTTACCCCAAACTTTTTGACAGTATGTATAAAATAAAAACATCTTACCTGTTTATCAGCTCCTAGACAGCAAGCTGGCACAATGTAGTGATGCGGAGGATGCTAGTCATGTGATCCCCAGAGGAGAGGCGGCTGCTGCAGCCAATCGTGAGCTCCGACACAGAAGTGTGCCCGCCCAAGGGTGAGACACAAAAGGAGCTATATTTAATTTGCAACCGTAGGTTAGTATTCATTCATAGGTAGAGGCAAAAAAGTAACTGACCTTGACATATGTATTGGTTTATGTTTGTGGATGGATGCAAATACAGAGGTGAGGATGCCAGTTCATCCGGGAATGCCCAGATGAAGCTCTCTGTTGCCTACTCATCTGAGGAGAACCGATTGGTTATAACCATCCATGCCTGCAGGTAGGAATCACACAAGTACCACAAATTATTTAAAAAAATGATTATTACATAAATTTTTATTTTTCTCAAAACAAAAAATAACGACTAATGTATATTAAAGGAGAAAAAAAGAGCCTTATTACTGGTTATGTTCCTCAGTTTGTTTTAATAATTCTGTATTCTTGCACAGGAACTTGGCATCCTATTCTAAGGATCCTCCAGACACTTACATCTCATTCATTCTGCTTCCGGACAAGAACCGGAACACCAAAAGGAAGACCAGTGTTAAGAAGAAAAGCCTTAAACCTGAGTTCAATGAGAGGTTAGTAAGAACATCATTAAATCATTATCTGATGATACACAGAGTCAAAGGTTAACCATCTTTCACGCTCTCCTACAGATTTGATTTTGACATGCCACTTGAAGAAGCAAAGCAGAAACATCTTGAAGTGTCTGTCAAGAACAGCGTTTCCTTCATGAGTCGTGAAAAAGAGCTTCTTGGCAAGGTATTCATCACGTGACGTGTCAGATAACAACACCACAAACATTATAGACCCTCTTAAAATGACTCGATTTCAATCGCCATTCTGTTTCAGCTTCAGATAGACTTGAGTCAGCTGGATCTCAAGACAGGAGTATCACAGTGGTATGTGCTATACTGTTGTTCACTGTAGATTACTCTGGGATTACAGTGTTTGCTTACATCTATTCTTATTTGTATCATTTCAGGTTTGACTTGTCAAATGAGACCAACTGAATGGCCTTCCCATGTTGACTTTATTCGCAGTCGTTTGAAGTGAAGGTCGATTTCACGGATGTTTACTTATTCCGACACTAGCAGGGGGTCGGAGTGTTCCTAAAACAGAGTGTCCTGAGTTTGACGGTGTAAGGACTAAGATTGTATCTTGCTGTGCAACTAGCTTTGACCCAAAATATAACTTGCTTGATTCCCATCATAAAGAATGTTCGCACAAGAAGGCTACGAGGATGCCACCTTGAGTCAACATGACAGCTTGTTGGAGAAATGTTACATTTTTAAGTATTTAATTTGTAGCTTCTATGTTTTAATGAGCTCCTGCACTTTATGGGCCATTGAGAATGCAGCAATGGGAAGTTGGAGCTTCTGTTCAGCTGTGATTTTTCAGTGTTGTTTATTACATTTCATTCCAACATTTAAACAAAAAATACTTTTGGAATTGCTTAGATCCACATCATGCATTTCAAAATAACCAAATTGCTAAATATTAGTATTCTGTATTTCTTATTTAAAAAAAAGAAAGTCTATGAAGAAGCCCAGATGAAAGGAAAATTTTGTATTGTTTCCTCTTTGAAATCTAAGGCATGACAAGGGTTTTGTTTAGTTATTATCTGAGCACTTCTTTATATCGTTGTGTTTCACATATTTTTGCTTCATGTTTGTGAGTTGACAATTCATTTTACACATATCAAAAAAGTTTCAATCACTGTGCAAAGTCTGTACTTTCCCAAAGATTTAAAAAAATATATTTTGCGTATACGTTTGAACCAAAAGGTAGCATGAATATTTAAATTTTAAGTGCCAATGAGTCTCTGAGAGACGTTGGTCAAAAATGTTACAAAAAATGCTTGAATTGTGTCTTGCAGTAAAGATTTAGTTTCTGATGAGAAAGACACTTGAATAAACAGGTGTAGGGAGAAAAATGAAGTTTTTTTTTACTTTTTTTACTTTGAAATGTAGTGCTTCTGCACCCTATTATTCTGACCCTGTATTGCAGTTTTAATAAATATGCCATTTGCACTTAAAAGACATGTGCTTTATTGTTAGATGTTTTAACATGCATTTAGTACATTTATAAAAACATATATTTCTTTATTCAAAATTAGTTCAGTAATAATGTTCAGAAATACAGTTGTGGCATTCGATGTTTGATCACTATATGAAAAAAAAAAAAAGCAGTATGCTTCGCTATCACCAAATAGTCCTGAATGAAGTCATTAAAATGCCACAGCGGGGGCTACTGGGATTCCCAATTAGTAATGCTGTAGTTCCAGCTTCCGTGGGCAGGTGGCGACAGAGAGAACGGAAAACCCCAGCCATTCATCTACGCTAGCGATGTGCAGTTTGTATACTAGTTAGTTAGAGGGTGGGATCACTCGCATCTCGCATGTCGAAAGCTTTCATTGTGGACGCAGTGAGTTCACAGATGAGCACTAATCGGGATCCCACAAAATAAACAAAAACTCTACAGCATAGACAAGAGAAGAGAGACCACATAATAAAGAAGAATTAAGAGGACTGACTGCTTGACATGGATTGTCCAGACATCTGCAATACAATACTTTTCAAGAGGACAGCAAAGTAATACTTTTGGGATTTTTATTCACTTACATGATTTACATGATCTCATCATTATTTAAGATTCGTCCAAATTAGGAATCGGTTCTGAAAAGGATCACTTTTTTTCTTTTTAGTTTTTTAACAAAACAAAAGTGGAATGTGATCGCACGTATTGGATGTATATTGGATTTATAAAGGACGCCGGGAGGCAAAGACTGAATTAGACACAGCGCATCTGAATCCTGCATCACTTTATAAAAGTAAATATGGGGAATATTGAGAGCGTGGACGGGCAGTCTGAGATGAAGCATCATATCATGCCCTTGAAAGTTCCAATGCCTGACCCAACAGAGCTGGAAGAAAGATTTGCCATAGTTTTGGTGAGTAGGCTATGCAACAGTTAGTTACGTGTATAAATATAGAGTGTAGTGTGGTTTACGTTTAAAAAATATATTTCAAACTTTTCTTATGCATTTAAAATATTTATATTAAGTTTATTTTCACTTTATCTTAAAATAATTTACACCGTGTATTTACATTAAATCATAATGTTAGCGTTTCCTTCATTTAAAGTAACTATTATTGTTTTCATCCAGTGTTCCTATTGATTGCTTGGCATATCTCAAACTTTACAGTGATAATCACAACGCTTAGACGAGCTAAAGAGACGTGTTGACATTTCTCTGATATGTTCCGTATGTCAGCAGCTTTATGACTTTCTCAAATGTTTCACTGCCACCCCCATTTTGTTACTCGCACGCTTCTCCTCAGTCCTTTTGTCTCTGAAGCTTCACGAGCGCTGACAAATGATGTGATATTTCGCACGAGGGTGAAAGACACATACACAAAAGTCACTTTACATCCCAAACGTTTTCTTTGGTAAAATGACATACAGTTAAAGAGTGTAATTTTGTGAGGGATGTAATGTAATTCATCTCCTCACAGAGCGCTGCATTTTCTGAATTCCCCCAAAACTCCTACGAGCGAGAGATGGTGAAAGATCCGCCTCCTCCTCCTCTCTCTATCCAGCGCCTGCTGCTCGTTTTGAGCAGATCTGAGTTGAACACACACTTACACTCATCTGTCATTATGAATCTGACATTATGAGGCAATCAGGCGTGTTTATGTAATACAGTAACTGAATCAACATCATAGCATTTGTAAACATCGCTCGCCCCTAATCTGTCATGCAGAGTCTTTGTAGTTTGTTTATTTACACTTCGTTCTTAACCAGCTGTTTATCTATGTTTGCGTTTTAAAAACTGATTAATAACTACTTCCTTACTTTTCATTCTTAGTTGTTCTCTGAGGGCAAAAAGTCAGTAAGTCAGTCATAGAAAGTCATAGATAGATAGATTTTTTTTAAATTGATCAAAGAGTTGTAGTTTAGCAACAAAGTGACCTCATTCTCTCCATTCTGGACTGATGATGGAAAGCGCCTGACCATCCCAGGGTGGATCCGGGGTCAATTTTAGAGCCTTGTCGGCAGTCTTTAAGTTCGGCCAGATTTCCTCTGACTGCTTTAACTTTGTGGGAAAGCATAACATTTTGAGTCACATTTGTTTCAGTGCTGTTATCGAATGGCAGCATGTGCTGGGCTCTGTCTGTCCCACTGGAAAGATAACGGAACATCAAAGTGTGTGTCTCATAGAGAGTGCTCCACTCAGGAAAACAGGCCTTCGGCTTCACGCTATGATACTGATTAGACTCATACAGGTTGAGAGTGTTTCTTCCATCATCGATTCAGTCTGAACCAAACCACATTCTTACATAGTAGTCACATGTGCATGTTTATATGCGTTATTGTACATTCAAAAGAAACAAATAGGAAAAATGTGATTCTGACAGCCACAACCTCTTTTTTATTGTGCATTTATAACTTTCCTGATAGCATACAACTACAATCAGTGACGTAAGCCTCCTTCCCTCACTTCCGCCTTTGATTTCCTATGTGAAACTGCTTGTGATACACATTTAGCTCAGTGTGAGGTAAGGTTGTATCTGCTTGTACCATCTCTCCTCCCTCAGACACGCTCTCAGACGGACAGCGCATAATGATGTCATAGGTGTAGGCTGTGCCAGCACAATATCCGTGCAGTGATGGCTTTAACAGGAGCTTAGCACACAGCAGGGCGGGCTGTGTGTGGAGATGGATCAGGGGATGAGATCCCTGGGTTACATCAGACGACTTCATGCACCCCGCTAATAAAACGCTTGGTTCAGGCCTAACCGAGCGCATGTGCCATATACATCGTTTTGCTCTTTTTCCTTTGTCTGGCTGATTCAGACTCTGCTTCATCTCAACTCTCTGCGGCTGGAAACAGCTGCCTGACATTTTTCCCTCGTTTGCGAAAGGAAATTGCATTGTGGAGCTGGCTGAGGCTAGTTTCTCCAGCAGTGCCTAGAGAGTTTAGTGTGTTGGCTACTGGCTTTCTTGATGTTCTCAATCTAGACTATTGCATTGGTTTGCTTTGGTCACGCAGCCTTCAGGCTTCAGTCAGAAGATTTTGGTTTTCTTTATTTAAATTAGCAACATCTTGACTAAATATGTGTAACGGAGGCAAGCTAGAAAGAGCTGTGAGAGTTAACATCACTCCCCTAGCCTCAAGAGTCTTTAGCATCCTTGTTTGCTTGCCCGCCTCCCATGCTGGAAACGCAGGTTCGAATCCCCCTCAGAGCACCTTCCATGTCAGATACGCGGGTTTGAATCCTGATCGCAGCGCCCCCCTTGCCAGAGACGCAGGTTCGAATCCCGATTGGAGCGCCTCCCATGCCAGAGACGTGGGATTGAATCCCGATTGGAGCGCCTCCCATGCCAGAGACGTGGGATTGAATCCCGATTGGAGTGCCTCCCATGCCGGAGACGTGGGATTGAATCCCGATTGGAGCGCCTCCCATGCCAGAGACGTGGGATTGAATCCCGATTGGAGCGCCTCCCATGTCAGAGACGTGGGATTGAATCCCGATTGGAGTGCCTCCCATGCCGGAGACGTGGGATTGAATCCTGATTGGAGCGCCTCCCATGCCGGAGATGCAGGTTCGAATCCTGATTGGAGCACCTCCCATGCCGGAAACACAGGTTCGAATCCCTCTCGGAGAGGGTCGAGTAGGACCTGTTATGTACATATCAGATTTCATGATGACTTAAAAGGATAGTATACCTAAAAATTAAAATGTATCCACTACAGGCCAGGGTGAATAAATGATGACAGAATTATTATTATTTTTTTTTTGGATGATTTATCCCTTTAAGAAGAGTTTATTTGTTTGTTTGTTTTGCAAGCTTACGAAGTAGGTGTGTTAAAGTCAACATAAAGACTATTCTCTCTCTTAATCCCATCCTGGTCTTATTGTGCATGATTCATCTGCACACATTATTCCAAATAGATGTTTGTCTTTATAATCTTCATCAAAATGTAGGCTCCACCTTTTTTGGCTGATATCACCATTCCCTCTTATTTTCAACACTTCTCCTCTAACCACCTGGCTTCATTCTGGGAGCTTTTCACAATGCAATCAATTCGCAATCTATAAAATAAAGTCTCGTCCAATTTTTTTTTTCTCATCAAAAATCATCATACTTTTTCATTCAGAAATACATAACATTACAGAAATAATATCACGGGGAACCAATGAAGACCATATAGGCTGGCATTGTGTGAATTTGTTACAAGCCAACATAGACTTGTTTCAGGCAGTTCCGAATCGGTTCCTTCTTTTGGGAGACAATAACTCCATTTACCGTATTGTGCACTTTGATCTTCAAAACTTTGTAGACTTTTTACATTCACAAGCAGCTACATTAAAAAGGGAATATCAGAAAAAGCATAATGGGGCACTTCAATGTGAATTTATCAGGTGTAACTCATTCTTTATCCTTAATTAGTTTTTTTTGTATTGTTCTTTGGCTATATACGAGGTTGTTTTTTGTTTTCATTTACTGACGTGACGTGTGATGTAAGCATGCAAGGGGAACAATGTACACCTGAAATTTCCCACCAAAATCTGAACTGACAGCTCAAAAGATACTGCCCAATAATGGATTTGTGTTCATTTTAACCTTGCAACTTTAACAATGTAAGTGGAACCCTAAATCCATATGGAATATTCTATAGTAATGGGACACTCTTACACCTCACTCTGTGTCTGAAACTGAAGTTGGGGTCTGGCTTCCTGGCTAAACTTCTCCATATGGGCCTCTGTTTTGTTAAAGAGACAGGAGGTGTAATTTTTTTCTGAGGTGGAGCGATGGAGCGGGAGTAGATGTGTGTGTGTGATATCCTCTTTCAAAGTGCTCCCGCTCGACTGCACTGCGGCGGATTCCTGTGGTCTGCTCTCGGTTAAAGCCACGGGAGAACTTTAGAGAAGGAAAATTCCCTTTGAACTGGCTGTCTGCCACAATGCACCGTTGTAATGACTTTACCAACACTTTTAGCAGAATGGGGCTATTTCAAAGACCTACTGGGTTTATTGTCTTGTTTGTCTACTATGAAGTACACGCAGAAAGATTTGCCATCTTGGTTGTTGTAGTAAACTTTTACTTTTCACAATTAAAGAGCTTTAGTTGTGCGAGTGTTAAAGTGCGAGCTTTGCCACACAGGAAGAAGCAACATAGTGACCCTTCCAGCCCCATTGCTTGTCAGTGTGACCCTTGACACTGTGCTGTCCGTCATGTCACAGTATTTGATAGATGTCACTCAAGTGGAACTAATGGAGTCAAGCTGTGGCTCCTGTTTATGGGACATTAAACCTAAATCATTTTCATTAGTTTGGCCTGTGTTTAGTTTATCCGCTCTGTGTGTCCGGTCAGTCTGCTTTCGGACCGAGTGGAGCGCTTCTAAAGAGCCTGCAGGTGGGGAGGAATCGGCCATTGTTTGTTTGTTATGCCGAAGACTCATGCTGTGGGAGTGTACATCTGTCTCTCGTATGGCCCCGTCGCAATGTCAGCGCTGGGATGTCTGAGGCTCCTCTCTGTGGGCATCCTTGTCTTACACGATAACACACGTATGCATTAAGTCTGACAGGTTTTTGTGTTGTGCTAAGTTTAAAGTGCCCCTATTTTGCTTTTACATTTTTTATTTTTTCTAATTTTGTTTTGGAGGTCTGCTGCAAAAAGTTTACACGCATCCAAGGTTTGCAGCATCACCTCTTGTCTCTTAGTGACTGAAATGGTTCAATCAAGGATTCAGGCTCTCTAAACCTCTCCTTTCTGAGAGCCTACTCTGCTCTGATTGGTCAGATGGCTCAGTTGGTTGTGATTGGTCTATCACTTACAGCGCGTGCCGGAAATGAAACGCACAATATCTGAATTTCAGCTCTGGAGGCTTCCTCAGCAATTGTATACACAGTTCTACCAGAAAGACTCGGGAGAATAAATACT